CGACCGCTCCCGGCCTTTCCTTGGGCCCCTAAAAGGGCGGGGTTGGGAAGGGGGAGCTACCATGGTAACTGGGAGGCGCGTAGTCGTCTAGCCTCTCCGGCCTAGCAGGCTCACAATGATTGGCCCATGTACAAGTACAGTGCCGATCGTACACTCCCGCGGTTGACCCCTCACTCCCCCAATGACGACTTGCCTGTACTTGCCCGCTAGGGCACCTTGTATTCTCTCCACAATATAAACATCCTACAAGTCTCTGCTTCCATTCATCCCACGACACCAGGTTCTAAAAAGCATAAAAGACTTTCTGGGCCTCATCTTCAAAAGAGCCCCACTCTAGCCTCCTTTCAGAGTCTGCACAGGTAGGTTCTCTTCCACCTCATCTATCAAGGTAAAATAGATGGACAAGTTGGCAGTGTTCTCACTCTATTTGGCATCAGTTCTGAACTTATGTTCTATCCAAAATACCTGTATTTTCCCGTTACTTTTGAGAATCAACATGCGCCATCAATTAACCAACCTGCCAGCCCCTCTAAACCTTGGAACGATTGAGGACTTGGTAATTTAGTCATCACTTACAATTCCTTTTGTAGATGAGGAAGATATTTTATCCCTCCATTTTATCAGGAGGGAATCTTGTTACAGACCACTATTACCAGATCCTTTGTGCAACAGAAAGATATGAGTGCTTGGAAAACCGTACTGTGGAATTGAGCCGCCATTCTGTGTTAGAACTTTCAGGTACCCCAAGGAACTATTTATGAATTAGAAACTGTCCCTACAGGGCTGGCCAGTTAGCTCAGTTGGTTACAGTATGGTGTTGATAACACCAAGGTCCAGGGTTTGATCCCTGTACCGGCCAGCTGCCCCTGCCCCCGGCCCACCCCCCAAAAAAAGAAAAGAAAGAAACTGCCCCTACAGGCACTGGCCATGAAGGATTTCTGGAAACACAATAGTAAAGAGATGAGAATTTTTTTTTTTTTTTTTTTTTTAAAAGATGACCGGTAAGGGGATCTTAACCCTTGACTTGGTGTTGTCAGCACCACGCTCAGCCAGTGAGGGAACCGGCCATCCCTATATGGGATCCGAACCCGGGGCCTTGGTGTTATCAGCACCGCACTCTCCCGAGTGAGCCACGGGCTGGCCCAAAGAGATGAGAATTTTATCTTCCCTCTTATTTCTTTGTATTCCTCCCACCTTCCCAATAAGTAAAAGTAACTCTCTCCTCTGGTGCAGCTCTCTTCTCCTAGAGAATCAGGACGTGGAACAGATTTAGAATTAAGAATCCTAACCTCTGAAAGGAATAGTAGGCAAAACAGTTGCTGCCTTCAATGTCTGGTTCTGAAGATGCTCCCTCAAGAGGCTCTGTCTTCCAATCTCTTTCTGGAAATACTGAGCAGTGAGACTATCAAAAGAAACAGCTTAGACACACAGTAGATTAACCTGTACACTTTTTTTTCCTCCAAGGAAATAGGAAGGAAGAACAGGGCTCTGACTCGGTAAACGCTACCCTGATGGCCTAAGAATTTTTCCAACTTGCTTTGGAGAAATCTGATCAGAGGGACTGTGGAAGCAAAAGTGAGATTCCGCCATCTGGGTGCTGATCAGCAGGGGGCACTATTGCATCTCCTTGTGCCATAGTGAAGAAGCAGAAGACCTCAGCCTAGACAAACCAAAGGGGTGTTAAGAGCACCACTGCATTCCTGAGGCTGGTAGATTTGAACAGATAATCTTCTCTTGATCCAGAGAAACAGATGGACTGATTCCTGATGGCCTTTAGAAGCATGATGGATAGGCAGCAAGAGGCCCAAGTGCTATTGTTTTCCTGGTGACCAACAATACAACAATGTAACAACAGGTGTACATGTCCATCCCTGTCCCTTCTCTCCTCATCCCTCCCACTGCCTGTCCCCAAAAAAGGGTGACGTGACTCTATGTACTAACCATTACACTCCTCTTTCCCCTTGTTTCTCCCTAAACAGCTTCTGATTTCATCTCAGATTAAAAGGACCGTAGAGGTGGTTGCACAACAATGTGAATATACTTATTGCCATTGAACGGTACACTTAAAAGTGGTTAAAATGGTAAATTTCATATATGTATATTTTACCACAATTAAAAAAAAAAGAATGTTAGACACATAGGGAGGAAGAAAATGAGTTTGGACTGGTCTTGCAACACCCTTGTCATTTCTTTGTTCAAGCAGTCCCAGCAAATCCTACATTTTCCAGAAAGGCTTCTCAGATAACCAGAACTGACTGTGTACACATGCAGTTATTGACTACCTCATCCTTCTCTTCCCCTTATATCTACATCAAGGTAATATGCTCTGTTTACTTATTTATTAATCTCAAGGACAGAAGCTGGACTATTAAATTCCTTTGTATTGGACAGTGCACCCTCCCTACAAAGTTGTATATGTTATGCTGCTGATGACTCTAACCCTTCCTTTCTACTTTATACCTTGCTGCTTTTAATTAAGTGCATCTCCCAATTCCTATAAACAGCTTGCTTTCCTTCTTTAACCCTTTGAAGGAGGGATTAGCAAATATTTTTTGTAAAGGGCCAGATAGTAAATATTGCTGGCTTTACAGATTGTGGGTTCTCTGTAGCAACTACTCTGTCGTAGGGAGAAAGCCAGTAGACAATATGTAAATGAATGAGCGTGACTATGTTCCAATAAAACTTTATTTGCAAAACCAGGCTGTGGCAGGATTTACCCCACAGATGGTAGTTTGTTGACCCCAGCTTTGAGGAAAGAAACCTTTCTTCCTGCTTCATTTCAACCCGACCTAACAAACTTTTGCCTTCTGGCCACAACCTTCCCTCCTATTTCTTTTTTTTTTTTTTTTTCTTTTTGTCTTTTTTACTGACCGGTAACAGGATCGCAACCCTCGGTGTTGCGCCCGCACCACGCTCAGCCAGTGAGCGGGAACCGGTCTCCACATGGGATCCGCGAACCCTCGGCGGGAGCGCAGCCGCGCTCCCAAGTGGCGCACTCTCCAGTGCGCCACCGGGCCAGCCCAGCCCTATTTCTTGTTCTCATACATATCTCTGAGGGTACTTACTCACTTGTTGGGAAAGCTAACAATGGAGAGAAGGTTGAATGAGTTTTTTTTTTTTAACCCACACTTTACATATTTAAATGGTTTTGGGTGAATTTCTGTATAAATATGAGGAAGCTTCTTTCAAATGAATATACTGAATACACCGTGTCTATGTGGGGGATGACGGGTGTGTGTAAAACAGCTTAAGACAGACAGAATCAAACCCCAGGAAATTCCTTTATCTTCCAAATGATACCGATGATATTGATGTATTGTCTAGAACCTCTTTATCCCTCTCCCTCCACCAGTATCTCGGGTTAGACTTGTTTGTTCTTTTTTTTGCTGCTGGAAACAACTCCTCAAGGCCACATACTGTTTCAGCCTGAGGACTCTCCCAGAGAGTTGTTACCAAACATCTCACAAAATTGTTATTAATTTGACATTGTGCTAATTTGTGAAAATCTCTATCCTCACGTCCATATATTGGAACCAGAGAGATCCATTTATACTTGGAACATAGGCTAGGCAACTCAAGCACTTGCCCAAAGCCCTGAGGTACCTGTGTTTTTTGCAGTTTTCCAAGAAGGGAGAATTTTTTTTTCCCCTTTAGTGCAAAACTGAACAAGGAAGGGAGAATTAATACTTTATGGTGGCCTAAGCTTTTGGAAACTATGAGTGTATATAATGTATATTATGCAGTTTGTGTTTCTAACTTGCATCAGATATTCAACTGTCACCACTTACCAGGGCCACTGAAGGTAGTGGACAGCTAAAGAGAAGATCAGAAACCAAATAGTAGAGAGGCCAAATATGAGTATACAAAAGCATTTGTGAATGGTCCACTCTGTCCTTCTAGATATTTTCTAAAACCAAATGTGATTTTAAGTAATACATACTCCTATTTTTCCTATTAACTCAGTTTGCTGGGAATTAACTGTATTTCTATAAAAACTGGGACATTCTTTTGTTGCTATTAAGGTTCCTATGGTACTTTTCTTCCAATAAACTCTCCTATAAATGAGATACTTCTCATTTATACTTGCAGCAAACTTCAAGGTTGAAGATGAAGGAAATGTAGGTGATTAGTAGATAATATAAAGTGGAAAAAGAGAATTTATTTCATTTTCTAATGGGAAAATTTAGCCCTAGAGAAGCTGAGTAATTTACTCAAGGTCATAGCTAAGGTCAGTGGTGATATTTTTACCCCCTAAGATTCTTTCTCAGTTTCTTTTTTTTTTTGTCCTTTTCGAGACTGGCCGTACCGCGCTCAGCCAGTGAGCGCCCCAGTCATCCCTATATAGGATCCAAACCCGCGGCAGGAGCGCTGCTGCGCTCCCAGCGCCGCGCTCTCCCGAGTGCGCCACGGGCTCGGCCCATCTTTCTCAGTTTCTATTATCGTCTAGCACTCTAAGGACCTCTCTGCTGCCCTATGAGCAATGCTTCCTATGGCATCTTTGTGGTATAAGGGCAGATGACCACATTGGCCAAGATAAATAAACCCATATAGGGCCAGGGTCAGTGTGACCTTTGTTTTCCATTGTGAAATCTGAGCTGGCTTTGTCAGACAGTTGAAAGATGAGAGGTTCCCTATTAATACACATATCTACATTCCAAGCCTTGGACACAGAAGCTAAGAATGTGGTATGGGGGATGAGGTGGGACAAGTGATAGTAGTTTGGATTCGGAATTCCCTCCCTTTGTCCAGGTCCTGAGAAAGATAGTTAAATTCCTGGCCTGAAAGTAGGACAAAAATGAGACTTCTGCATATCTACAGGAAAGAAAATATATGCTGGTTATACCAGCATGTGCTTATATGCAAAAATGTATGTGGGTATATATGTCTACGTTCTGTAAACCCACAAGTATGTGTATGTCAATGTGTGTTTGGAATTTAGTCATATATTCACATGAATATATGTGTAGATTAAACCCATCTCCCATCTCTCTAATACTCACATCAGCTGCCTTCTTCTCTGCTAGCTCCAGCTTCTCCTGGGCATCCTTCAAAGCTTCAGAATACTTGTCCAGCTCATCCTCTGTCCCTTTCAGCTTCTTCTGCATGGCTGCCAGCTCATCCTCCAGCTACAGGGACCCAGAGAGTCACACACAGAAACTACAAGGGCACTTCAAAAAGTTCATGGAAAGATTTACATTATCTTTTAATTCTATTTTTCCATGAACTTTTTGAAGTACCTTTATACATATACAACAGTGCAGGCTTGGATCCCAGTCTCTTGAACCCTGATAGACCCCTGAGCCCAGCCTCCATGTTGCCATCCCTCTAGCCATTTCCAGCGCACTGGTCCAGGAGTTATGCTATGGCTTTGTTTGTGACTTTGTAATCTCTAACCCTAAGATGACCAAGCCATTCTGGGTGTTCATCCAAGACCCTTAGATGGTAAATATCCAAGGGTGTATATGCCTGTGATGCTTTTTAAGAGAAAAGAAATGCTGCATGCTAAATTCTTACCTTTTCTTCTAGAAGTCAGAGGTCCTTTCAAAACATGGTCCACGTCTACTTAAATCCAGCAGACACACTGTGGCTCAGAAGGGGCCACTGACTTTCCCAAGGTCAGAAAGGCAGTCTGAGGCAGATACCCTAGATGTCCTCTGCCTTTCCAGTGAGGCTTGGGGAGTCCCTCCCATCCAAAGAAGGAGCTGGCACCAGTGATCACTGCTGTTCCCATGAAAGCTCCCTTCCATCTCATAGTCTTCACCAGTAGGTGAGAAAGACCAATGCCAGTGCCTACCTGCTTACTTCTTTCTTCTGCCTGCTTCTGCTCAGCTTCAGCTTGCTCTGCCCGATCCAGAGCATTCTCCTTGTCCAACTTCAGCATCTGCATCTTTTTCTTGATAGCCTCCATCATGAGCAGTGGTTGTTGATGGGTTCACCTGTGAACACTGGAGAACTGGAGACTAGGGTAAGAAAGGAGGGGCTGCTGCCTTAGTGACTAGGCGCTCCCCAGACCTGAGCCTTTATTTGTGCTTGCAGCTCCACCTCTTGTTCCTAATATGGTCTTTCTAGCTCCCTCCACCCCATCATTGTTCTCCTGGGGGAACACAGGGTGAAGACACTTTGATGGACTGACATCACCAGCAAAAAAAAAAAAATTGGGGAACAGCTGAGGCTGATTTTAGACAATGGAAAGTGGGGGAGGGGAGAAGTTCTCTCTGACCCTGAAACTTTCCATTCATTCTGGATAGCTCTACCGGAGTGTTAAAAGAGGAGGGACAGTGGAGGAGAAAACATTGAAATAGAGCAGGGTACTTTGGCAATTCTAGAATGGCAGTTTTCCCCTGGAGGTCCTAGTTGCCCTTCAGCTTCCCCCTTACTCTGCCCAGGACCATGCTGGATGCTGATCAAACTCCACTGGTTGACTTTTATCTTTTGATTCCTGGTATTAAGGGAGCTTGGACAACAGTGAAGAGGGGAGGTCACTCATGGTCCTTGACAGTTCCCCCATATCCCCAGATCAAATTGCTGTGCTATTTTGGGAGTCTCTAATTGGCAAGGAGACATTGTTCCTCCCTTGTAAGAGCAAAAGGAATAGAGTAAGAGACTAAGGTCAGGATCTGGAAGGCCATCGCAGAACTTCGAGTGGGCTGAGGAGAGAGATAAAGGAGGGTCAGAGTAATCCAGACAGGATCATGTCATCTATTATCCCATAGTGATCTTAAAATAGATCACTCACACAGACCAAGGTCTATGTTGCTCTCTTCTCTTCAGCCTCTCCTTTCTCACAACCCCACCCCCACTCACCCCCACACCACACCATCACAATCGTTATTACCAGCTCTATTATCCCCAGTTCATTTATTTTTTCCTTCTTTTCTATTTTAAGTTTATTTACTAATAATACATATATATATACATTCTATTCTCCCCAGTTTATTTATTTATTTTTTTGAACTGGCCATCCCTATATAGGATCTGAACCCATGGTCTTGGTGTTATCAGCACTACACTCTCCCGAGTGACCCACGGGCCGGCCTACTCCTCAGCTTAGTATCAAGCCATGTTTATTCTTCCACTTGGATCCTTGTTACTGACAGGTGGCAATTGATCCCAGTACACTGGCACCATATACCTGAGAATATGCCAGGGGAGAGGTGGGCACACTGTTCAAAATGACCAGAGCTATCAGAGAAGAATATAAATAGCTCTAATTAGTCATTATGTCAAGGATAGTTAATGCTAAGCCCCAGCAATGGGGAAATTGAGACACCCAATAGGGCAGAGGATAAAGCAGAGCTGGAATCCACTCTTAAGAGCTTCCAGTCACCAGAAGTAGATAGGCAGATAGACCGTCAGCTGACTCTTAAAGGAAAACAGAGAAACCGAAGACCCCTACTGTGGAGACTAGCCAGGGAAAGGAACTAGGGAATAAGAGAGTCCCAGGGAGAGGAAGCCATGGATAATAGTGGGGGGATGGGGCAGGAGAATAAGGAACACAAAAATACAAGGACAAGAGAAAATAAGGAAAAGTGCTACAGTATATTCCTTCTAGTATAGAGGGTCAAAATATAGAACGATTTAATCCCTAAATTCCATCTCTCACCCATTCCCACACCAGCCCTCCAGGTTACGATTGAAATCCAAATAGGTTGCAGCTACTGGTCTTTGAAAGGGGAGAGGGATTCCAGAGAGAAGAGTTTCAGTAAAAAAGACAGGAGTCCCAGAACTCCAGAGATTGAGATAGGAAAGAGGGTGATGCTGAATTGCCTACTGCTGTAAGAATATGTTTGACATTTAGTTGGTTCCTAATTAAACAACCCAATATCAAACATATCACACAGAAGCAGGCAGGAGGGCTTTGGTGGTCATCTGCCTTTCTCCCCACCGCAAAGAAAGGACAGAGCAGAGACACCAGGCACCAATCATGTCTGGATGGAGAGCCATCTCCTTGAGGAAGGGCACTGGCCCCTGCACTTGCCCTCCCAAGACAGCTGACTCTTGCTCTTCTTCCCTTTGTGCCATCCCTGCCTCAGCTCCTCTCCTACCAGTGCCTGGCCTTTGCTGGATCACGTTGACCTGAACCAGGAAGAATACCTGGCAGGGTTCCACATCCGGGCACCTAGTGTTCCCCAAAGCTCCCACACAGTGCTTCTCCCCTTCCCACCCCCGATGTCACGGCCCCAGTGCCCAGAGGATCAGCAGTGTCAGCAGGTCCTCATCAACTTTGCCACCTGCTCTCTTCAGTGGCATTCCAGCTGCCCTGAGGCTTTCCGGGGGTGGGATGGGGGACTTGTACATTCTGCTTTACCTTTTCAACCGAACTCCTAACCTTTCCAGATCACTCTCACAAGACTGCTGAGATCCTTTCAGTGGACATAATCTGGGCACTCTCCTGCTCTTAAGTGCTACAAATAAGCAGCCATAAGAAACTTCCACAAATCCTTGGCTGCTTTTTTCCACCGTCTTGTCCCTTCTCACCTTATCCTCATGTCTTCCAGCCATCCTCCTTAGAGTCACCCTTGGATGTCCAGAATAGAAGAATAACCTGTCTCAATGGCAGGCTCCAGCCTGGGCTCCAAAGAGAAGACTTATTGTTTGTCCTGCCTCGCAGAATTGAAACTAAGGCTTTAAGATCAAGGGTGAGAGAGGCAACTCCCTCGGCCAGGAAGCAGCCTGCAGTCCTTAGGACTCCTCTCCTCTTCTGGGGCTTTTTACAACAAGAACTCCTGAGCTGGCTTCTCCAAGGGTCTTCCCTCATAGAGATCCAGCCTGGTTCCCATATGGGAGGTTTTTCTTTTGGAGAGAATCAAGTTTGTTGAATGTCATGTGGCAGGCAGATGCTTCTCTCCACTGTGGCAGAAAGGAGCCCCGAGTTATAGCAGCACCGGGGGCTGGGGGCTTGGGTGGAAGTGCGGGGGTAGGAGAAAGACACTCTGCTTCAGCCTCCAGGCTTGTTCCATGTGTCCTCTTTCCCATTCCAGACACCACCCTGTCTCCCCCTTTTTCTCCCCTTCCCCCAGCATACACCAATTTCACAGTGTCCTTGATTTAGATCAATAGCTTGTCCCAAGCCCCAGTCAATTCCTGTTATGCGGCTCTTGCCTTATAGGGGAAGACTAACAAATGGGCATACAGGCCCCAGGGTAGGCACCTGTGGTGTTGTCTTATATCCCTGTTCCTTTATGGCTCCCAAAAGATGCGTGTGCGTGTGCGTGTGTGTAATTTTTACTTTCTTGCTCACCCTTCTTATCTTTAACCCTTTAAGTTCTAGTTCCCTTTTCAGAGAACATCACCTGCACTGAAGAACCAAAGACTGGAGGATGAGAGGCTGGGAAAGGGACTAGCAGGAATTGCAAGGACTTCAGTGTTTGGGGCACTAGGGGAACAGAGGCAGACTGGGAATATTGACACAGGGGAGGAGCAGCTCTCTTGGAAGGAGACTTTGTTTTTTAGCTTTTTGGGTTTTTAAGTTTTTACTTTGGTGGCTGGACAGTAAGGGGATCTAAACCCATGACCTCAGTGTTACAATGCTGTGCTCTATGAAGGAGACTGTGGATGGCATCACTAGGCAAAAATTATCAGATGGTCTCTGATGAAAGCCCTTTAGCTCTCCTGGAAGTATCTCCTATGCAGCCATTTCAAACAGGACTGAGACTTTCTGAGCCAGAGGAGCTGGGTAAGGCATCAACCACAGAGGGAAGAGCAGCTGGATGAATATGATGGTGTGATGTGATGAGAGCAGACAGAATAGGCAGAGAGGATCAGGGGAGATGCGCTCTGTAGGGGGCCAACCTGCCAATACTGGAGCCAGCCTGGCACTGACAAGCCCTGGGGCAAGAGGCCAAGGTCAGGGATCAAGGCAGAGGGGATGGGGCATTCTGTGGGTCCAAATGAGTAGAGGAAAGAGAAATAGAGAAATAGAAGAGGTTGATGAGGGAGTGTGACTGGAGGAAGGGGGCAGCCAGGTAATGGAAATAAAAAGGGAAAAAACTATCATGGGGTAGGAAAACATTATGGGTTACCGTTTATTAGACATTATGTGCAACTCTCTGCTAAGTGCTTTACTTAATCCCCCCAGCAGCCCAATTAGGGAGGCATTATCTCCATTTTACATATAAGGAATTATAACCCAGAAAATTAAAATAACTTGTGCAAGGCCACACAGCCAGTAAGTGACAGATACAGGTCTGAAGACCAGATCTGTCCAGTGTTGAAGCCTGCTCTCCCAACACCAGGCTATATTGCCCATGCATGAGATTCAGAGGGTGGACTGGGAGACAGGAGGGAAGGTGAAGGAGGTGAAGGTGAGATTGACCTTCAGGAAACAGAGGGCCAGGGAACAGACAGAAAGAATGGGAGATGCAGTCTCAGGCCGTGGGTCACATCCAGGCCACGCCATGTGTGGTTTGGTCTCCTACAAAACTCACATCAGACCTGTCATTGCTGTTCCATACCTGCCCCTGCCATCAGCCTGTGAGCTCCACATCTTGTTTGTTGTAAGCACTCATAAGTGGTTATTGAGTAAAGATAAGAAGGCTTGGGAAGCAGAGGTGATGGGGACTGGAGGATGAATAGATATGTAGGACAAAGAGAGGGAGGGGCATGGGATGGAGAATGACATTTGAGCTGGATAAGCGAGCTGGCCAGGGGGCCAGCAAGCAAACTGTGAAGGACTTGGGTCACAAAGAAGTCTCCTGAGGAAGAATATGAAGGATATTTACTGTGTGCCAAGCACTGGGCTTGTTCTCTATCTCTCTATATATTTTCTTATTTAGTCCTCAAATGATCCTATGAGTTGGATACTATTGTCCTCATTTTCAGAAGAGGAAATTGAGGCTCAGATAAAATAAATAACTTACACATGATGACATAAGAATTAAAGAGAAGCCGGAATTTAAACCCACACCTAACTCCAGAGGCTGTGCTCTTCTCTTTACACTCTGCTGCCTCTTAGTACTCCTAATCAGTGAGGTGTGTACGGGCAGAAGGAAAGAGAACCTCTGACAGCTAGGAGATGAAAAATGGAGGATTCAGTAGGAGACTGAAGAACAGGGACAGATTTCGGGGAGGGTAAGGAAGACTGTGAGTGTTGCAGTGGAAACACAGCCACATGGGGTTGAGGGCAGGAAAGGATCATATGGAAAGGATGAGTGACCAGTGAGGATGCTGATGGCAAGGTGAGAGAACAGGAAAAAGTAACATATAATGGTGATTATATCAGGTAATGATGGTGTATTCCTTCAGCTGTTACTGGCTGCAAAATGGGGATCTCTCTGGCTTGAGATTGACATTTGTATGTAAAGTGAACTCTTATAAGTAAAAGTTCTCTGTGGCCTATGGATGCATATGATCAATTGGTAGTTTTCAATATTTTTCAGAATTTTGAATATCTTTAGATGAGACATGCTCTTTCCAACCTCCCTCAAATCCCACAACTCCTTATTTCCTTACACCTGCTACATTACTGCCTGAGCCCTGGAGGCATTTGAGTTTGGTACCTTTTCATTTTTCAGAGGTGGGAATTCAGGCCCAGAGGAAAGAGAGTTGTCCAAGGTTTCACAATAACTAGCCTACTCAAAACCTAAAATTTGGGGGCCGGCCCGTGGCTCACTCGGGAGAGTGCGGTGCTGATAACACCAAGGCCCCGGGTTCAGATCCCATATAGGGATGGCCAGTTCGCTCACTGGCTGAGCATGGTGCTGACGACACCAAGTCAAGGATTGAGACCCCTTACCGGTCATCTTTTAAAAAAAAAAAAAAACCTAAAATTTGGGGGCCGGCCCGTGGCTCACTCGGGAGAGTGCGGTGCTGATAACACCAAGGCCCCGGGTTCAGATCCCATATAGGGATGGCCAGTTCGCTCACTGGCTGAGCATGGTGCTGACAACACCAAGTCAAGGATTGAGACCCCCTTACCGGTCATCTTTTGAAAAAAAAAAAAACCTAAAATTTGGGCCTCCTGACACACAGTGCCTGTAGATTAATATCCACATTCAGAGCTATTTATCCAAGTTACAGAAAGGATCTGTGAAAGTGAGATCTAAGAGATGGGGAACAAAATCCAGGAAGTTAAGATGATAGTAGCTAAGAAGTAAGCACTTTTGAAACAAATCAAGATTTAGGGCTGAAAGAATGAGTCAAGTGGTCTAAGTCTGAACTTTTAAGAGCTAGCTTTATTAAACCAAATCAGGATGCTCAGTCTCATATTGTCCACCTGCCCCCTTCCCTGCCCGCTTCCATTGACACTGCATATCCCACTCTGACCACAAGGTGTCACTCTTGTTTTTACCATTATTTTTAGATTGTTTCCCAAGTAGCAGCAGGGGTTGACATGAGAATAAAGAAATGGAGAGTGGTTAAGTCCTGGGCTAGATCCAGGTATGTTTTGGGAAGGAAGTTCAAGGTGCTAGAGGCTCAAGAAGCTAGATTAGCAGGCATGATGAGAATGGAAGAACAGTGTTTCCGATGCCATCAGAGTCTCTCCACATAAAAAGCTTTGCCCATCTGATTTAGTTCTTGTTGGTACTGCTGATGCTCCTTATCAAACAGCTGGTGTAGGGCAGCTTGACGGACCTGGTGGGCAGTGCAGAATAGAGTGTGGTGTTTGCCTTCTTATGTGACATAAATCTAGGCAGTAGCAGAGAGTCTAAAAAAGTAGAGGGGAAGCCTATCTAATTTTTTCTCCATGGGTCAAGCCCCAGGTTCAGCAAATATTTGCTGAGAACATACCATGAACCAAGAACTCTGCTAGGTACCTGGGTTTCTTTTTTTTTTTTTTTTTAAAGATGACCGGTAAGGGGATCTTAACCCTTGACTTGGTGTTGTCAGCACCACGCTCAGCCAGTGAGCGAACCGGTCATCCCTATATGGGATCCGAACCCGGGGCCTTGGTGTTATCAGCACCGCACTCTCCCGAGTGAGCCACGGGCCGGCCCGGTACCTGGGTTTCAAAGATGGTTACATGACAGCAATTTCTCCCCAGCAAGAGAAAGAAGTACTGAGATGCAGGTGCTGGATACTAAGACAGTTTTGAGTCTCACCAAGATGAGAGGACTAGAATGCACTTTGGGATTTTATTTTATTTTATTTTATTTTTGCAGCTGGCCAATATGCAATTTGGAATTTTAAAAGGTGCCACCTGCAAGCTAGATGCAAAGAATCAATGAAAAAGAGCTTTGGCATTTGGAGTTAAAAAGATATTACTGTAGGTAATGGTGAAAACCTCAGAGGCAAATGAAATGGTGAGCATGGACAGAGATTAAGCACTTGGAAATCCCAGTGGGCAAAGGCACAGGGCAGTAATGAATGAAACTTCAGGCTTCCCTGATAGAACTTACCATCAGTAGTTGCTTGTTAGCCAGTGCCAATTGCTGTACCGTAGTGTCCTGCATCCTTAGGGTGGCATATGGGTTTCTCCTTTGGCTCAATGTCATCTGCCACAGACAGTGAGTATGTGAATTTTACCACATGCCCCAGGTATAGAGGTGGAAGTTGAATAGGTTAAAGTGAGGAGTGGATACAAAAACCCATCAGTGAGGCTGCTTGTTCATTCATTACCTCTGTGCCACTGTCAGAAGACTGCAAAATCCTTGAAAGGGTAACTAGAACTGATTTAGAACCTAGTTTGTATTAAATACATTATGTCATTTCAATAACCATGTGGCATAGGTATTCATTTTTACATAATATAGACAAAGAAAATAAAAGCTGTGAGTTGCCCGAGGCCACATAATGGCAGACCTGGCTCTCAAATCCAATCTTTTTTTTTTTCCCCATGCTAATCTTCTCTGTATCATTCCAATTTTAGTATATGTGCTGCTGAAGCAAGCACTCAAATCCAATCTTTCTTTTTTTCTTTTTTTTTCCTTTTTGTCTTTTTTACTGACCAGTAACAGGATCACAACCCTCGGTGTTGCGCCCGCACCACGCTCAACCAGTGAGCGGGAACCGGTCTCCACATGGGATCCGAACCCTCAGCGGGAGCGCCACCGTGCTCCTAAGCGGCGCACTCTCCAGTGCGCCACTAGGCCGGCCCCAAATCCAATCTTTCTAAGGCTAATATTCTTTCCATCACACCAACCTCCCATCACATCAATCCTAGCTAGACACTGGAATCTTAATTAAGGTTTTTTTTTTTAAGTAGTTTTTTTTTTTTTTTTTTTAAAAGGATGACCGGTAAGGGGATCTTAACCCTTAACTTGGTGTTAGCACCACGCTCACCCAGTGAGCAAACCGGCCATCCCTATATGGGATCCGAACCCGTGGCCTTGGTGTTATCAGCACCACACTCTCCCGAGTGAGCCACAGGCCGGCCCTTTAAGTAGTTTTTTGATACCTTAAAGGAATATACATATACATCACATTTATACATATGTATGTATATATATCCACTGTTGACTTTTTTTAATTAAAAGTATTTTTTCCGGGCCGGCCCGGTGGCTCACTTGGGAGAGTGCGGTGCTGATAACACCAAGGCCACGGGTTTGGATCCCATATAGGGATGGCCGGTTCTCTCGCTGGCTGAGCGTGGTGCTGACAACACCAAATCAAGGGTTAAGATCCCCTTACCGGTCATCTTTTAAAAAAAAATAAAAATAAAAATAAATAAAATAAATAAATAAATAAAAGTATTTTTTCCATATAACCAGGAAATTAAATCCATACAGAAATATATATGAAAAATTTTTTTTTGGTTGCCAGTTGGTACAGGGATCTGAACCCTTGACCTTGGTGTTACAACACCATGCTCTAACCAATTGAGCGAGGCAGCCAGCCGACACACACAAACATATTAAATGAAAAGTAAAAGCTTTACTCTGTGTCTCAGTCCTCAACAAAAGTTTCTTATGCATCTTGTCCCAGGCAAGTACGAGGGTACTTTAAAAGTTCAAGGAGGGCCGGCCCGGTGGCGCACTGGATAGTGCGCCGCTTGGGAAGCATGGCGGCGCTCCCGTCCGGGGGTTCGGATCCCACATGCAGACCGGCTCCCGCTCACTGGCTGAGCGAGGCGCGGGAGCAACGCCGAGCCTTGAAATCCCGTCGCCGGTCCCCGGGCCGGGACGGGGGCAAAACGGAGGG